CTATTTTGTCGTATAATGCTCGTATTTCAGACTCATGTATACGTTTTCTTTCGGCCTTCCTTTCAGCTTCCCTCTGCTCAATGTCCTTGACATACTCTGGGAGGGCCTTATAGTTCATCTCTGTCCCAACGATCAGCTCGATCAGTTCTTACCTTATTATGGAGTCCGGCCGACGAATGATTCCTGTCTTGCAACTAAATAACCCTGACAACAATGACAGCCCTAGTTTTCTGCCTTGCTTCAAGTTACCTGTTAACTTAGTCTACAAAAGCTTCCAAAGCTCTGACACGGAATCCTGTCCTGTCACTGTTAACCTTGCAGCCACTCACAGAATATAGCTTCAACAAGCTATCTCACAATTATCCGTTTGACGCGAGTTACCCAATGGCCAAAACAGCTCTGTTATTGTTAACTTTGCCATCACCCACATGCTATAGCCTAAACAAGCTATCTTGTAATCCACCTAACGCCAGTTACCGAATGACCAAAACAGCTGTTCTCCCCACCAGCTTTTATGTACCCATTAGTAAATGCCTGGTAAAATTTAACAGAGAAAGTCGGCACTCACCCGGCTCGCAGCCATGCCTCCAGCGTCGTGCATCTCAGCAGTGCTGTTCGGCTGCCTCTCAAGAGGATGAGCTTGTAGCATCCGACCATTGTCGTCCAATTGCCTCTCGGAAGTTAATTAGGTCGTAGCATCTGACTGCTGTCGTCCATTCATTGCTATCGTACTTGACTGCATCTCACCGCTGCCATCCAGTTATTGTGACTCCAGGTCCTGCGGGTCTCATTGTGGTAGCAAATATTCTCTTGTCAAGCGCAAGGGAATATACACCAAAGTACACAAAGGAAGATCTGAAAAAGTCAGCGTGTGTCCTAAAGCACAAGGGGAAATATTTAGTCGCAAAGAAGTGAAGTGGGCAGCATCCCTTTGTCTCCTGGGCAGATATGGTTGGACAGACCAGTCTATGTTAAAAAGAAATTCTACAAAAACACAACTATGTTTTCAAAATGTCACTAGCATGCTGTGTAAGCTTGCAACACACTGATTTTAGTGTGATGTCTAGCCAGAGCTTCAAAAAACAACAATTTAGAAGAAACAAGTGCTTCAAAAAATAATCAAATTATTCCTTACTGCTTTGCAAGTGTACCACATATGGGTTAGCATGCAAACCATAGGACTTCGTGATAAGGAAGTCAACTTTCTGAAAAAATAAATTCATGTGCATACAACTTGGTGTAAATAAGAAACACCATGAGACCCCATGCCATAAAGTTTTCTGAATATACACTAGAGGGAACTCTGGCACTAGTGTCTATGGGAGCTGCAACGCACGGCACTTCAGCAAGCCTGGGAATAATGGGTAGTACACGGATTTGTCTAATTGTTGTACTTATTTGTCCATGTGTGTTCGTGTGGCTTGGAGTTGTTTTCTCATGAAACAAGAATCAGCAAATGTTCAGTGGTTGCGCTTCACTACCTTAATCTTTTAGTCTTACCATTTCAGATCCGGTCACGAAGTTCGGAAGGGCCCATTCTTTCCTTCGAAACAAAGCCGAAACACAGCAATAAACGAAACCATAAGTGCGATTTGCCGCCAACAAGTACGAAGGCTAGGCAAATCCGTGTACTACCCATTATTCCCATGGTCGCTGAATGATGGCAGCACCAAAGTCCCCTGTAGTTAATTTTAGGAAACTCTATGCCCCATGCATCTTGCTAATGACTGGGATATTCAAACCTTTTTAGTTGCTCTAATAAATAGTGTATGTGTATGCTTCATGTGTTTTTGGTTACTTTGTTGTTCACACCTTTCTTTATAGAAGTATTGCTCCACAGTGCATTTAACAAGTTAGCTTGTGAGCTGGCATATGTCTTAGCACTTTTTGACTTGCACCTTGAGCTGCAATTTTCTATTCCTGGCTTTTTCCACCTTCTGTGTTAATGTCAACAATCTTATAGGTGACATCGACACTGTGTGCATTCACCTTGCCAGCTTTGGAACTTCTAATGTCTGGAAGATATACAACCTACCATAACAAAGCTAAGCTTATAGCAGCTTTCTGCTTGCCCCTTTTTCTGGCACCATCTTCACTTATGACCCCTGCCCTCCTATCAAGGCTATGGTAAAGGTGTAGCTCCAAAGTCCAGGCCTACAGGCACCAGTGCCAAACCATGACTGGAACTATTCTTGTCTTCCCGTAAAGCATAACTACACTTGCCACAATGGCACTATGTCTGTCTTCCAGCACAGATCACAGAGGCACACCATACCTTCCTTTGCGATTGCATTGGCCGAGCAAGTGATGACACAGTGCCCTGCCAGTAAGGGAAAAGGTTGGCAAAGCATTCATTACTGAACAACTGAATTTGAATGTTCTAAATTAGGTAATACAATGTCCACCCACCTGAAGCTGTGCACTGGAAGACTATATGCATCATGCAGGCCAATGATGTTTAGAATTGTTGTGTTCACGTAGACTTTCAGTGCAAACCACTCTGTCAGTCTATATCTGCCCTCAAGACAAAGTGACATAGATCTCAGCATAAAAAAATGTAGATGCCCTTTTATGCTCACTTATTCTGTACAGACAGCATAAATAGGTGAACCACGCTCACCTAATGATGATGGTACACAGGCAAGCAAGCAAGCGTGTGGTGCTCGGCTGTTGACCTCGAAACGAGGGTTCAATCCCAGCAGTGGGGATCGCACTTAAGTGGATGCAAAAGGTTAAAGATCCATGATCTTAGACCTAGGTGAACATTAAAGAACCCCGGGTGTTCAATCTTTCCGAAGGCTTCCATGGTGATGTGCCATAATCGTGTCATGGTTTTGCCGCGTCCAACTCTAGGTATTATTGTTACAGGCAAACAAGCAGTAGTTTGTTCTACTGTTGTTCTTTCTTTAGACAACGCTTTCGGTGGTTTTATCAGCTTGTAAGTTCTTTTAGGGGCGAAGCTCCTTAGGGCGTGGGCTGTGCGTCCCCTGTAGCCTGTATGTAGCCACCTCTAGTTTAGTTCTTGCAGTGTTCACTAGATGGCGGTACCGTCCCCTGTATGTAGCCACCTCTAGTTTAGTTCTTGCAGTGTTCACTACATGGCGGTACCGTCTCCTGTAAGTAGCCACCTCTCGTTTAGTTCTTGTAGTGTTTACTAGATGGTGGTACTTGTAGCTGATGATGAAAAGATGCAAGATGTTATAAACTAGAAAGCGGTACTTGTAGTTGATGAAAGACGCGAGATCTTATAAAATAGGAATGATGTCACATATGGCGCGTGTCATTGGTTGAAGGCAATCGTTCGATTTAGTGCGGCGACGTACGCTAGGGGGAGTGATGTAATAAAATCGAGTGGGCAAAATGTACAGAGGATTCATGGTTTACCAGGTTTACCTCCGGAGCTTCGCCCACTCATCATCATTCACTTCGTGGATATGGCGGAATTTTTTCTGAAGGGGGAGCTTGTGTATTTTATGACTTGCATATTCTAATTAGGGATCCCAGAAAAAATTTTGGGAAACACAGATTGAAGCATTGGGTCTGTATCTGTGCCTTTGTTCATGCTTTGTTTGTATGTATGTGCTCTTTTCATTTTTTCAAGACTTTTTTGGGCTATAGGTACATTTATGGTGGTATAATATGAATTAAAATTTGACTGTCTTTCATGTTCTGAAATGCATTGGCTTATATGTACAACCTTCCTTTTCCTAATCAGTTTCTTCTTTTTTGTATAAATATTCTATTGTCAAAAGCCTACTGTATCACCTCTAATTAATCGAATGACTTGCACAGGCAGTTTATGTCCAGTGTATTTTTTAGAGCATTTTTCTGGCTCATAAGTCTGGAATTAAAAATATAAATTTTTAACTTGTAGAATATTTATGTGATGTTCGGTATAGTCACTGCTGGAAAAAGATCAACCTTCTTCAGCCACTGTGTCTTTAACAATTATAGTCGAACCTCTTTATAAGAGACACTGGTGTAAGAGACAAATTGGTATAAGATGCCAGTATGCCTACTTTTATATATAGGTGTTGATAAAAAAATGCATATGTGGTACCCTGCTCATAAGAGACACCTCACATAACAGATGAAAATTGTAGCCCGGTGCGTGCCCTTTGCATAGCTGTATGGTGTTTTACTTATGAGTTGTTATGAATAGCAGAGCATTGGATATTTTTTAAATGGCAGGAAAAAAAAAAAATAGCTCTGGTGATCTAAATTAAGCTGGTCATGTACGTCTGAGTGGGTACATTCTGGATTAAACCAGAGAGCCAACTGTAAAGGTTATCAAGAGTTCACTGTAATTTCAGTTTTCTTAGAGGGATACTGACACCAGTTTTTGAAGCTTACTTTACTGTCCAATACAAAGCTCCTTTTTAACAAGTGTGAAGGTCAGGAAATGCTAATAGGATACTTTATTTTAACATAATTTTTGCATGTCGCACCAACTGACATCAACACTAGTGGGATGCCAGGCTATGGTATCAAATTCTCACTGGTATGACTTCTTGCGATGACGTCAAGTGCCGAAACATTCAATACGGCTGCTTGTGCGCTGTCAACAGTCACGTAGTGAAGCAGCCATGGAAACGTCGTGATATCTTATGCAGGCATCTAACCGTAAAAACCTCTACAGTGTTGTGACATCAGGATACAGTAGGAACGGAGACTAGCTTTTAAAAACATGTAATTTATTTTTCAAGGTGCACTCCCATTTACCAGAATGTTTTCTTGGCTTTTGAGGATTTGGCCTCTCATCTTATGCGAAAAAACAAGTGAAAATTTATGTAAAAACAAGTTTGCATATTTTTAGGCAGTAAATGAAACAGTTTGAAAGGTGGTAATCATTTTGATCTGTTTTGCCAATTTGGCTTGTTATAAAGACACTTATCTACAAGTATTTCTGTATAGACTAGGAACTATATAAATTAAGATATGCATGGTCTTATCGTCTAAGATTTCAGTTAATTAGTGCATATGTTGTTTGTTTTTTTCAGGGAGAAGAAAAAATAGGACATGGAAAACGGCTTCCCACGCCAACAGAGAAATCCATTTTTGAGCACCTTGGGCTTGAATATCGACCTCCTGAAGAACGAGACCATTAGCTGTATACTTTATGCAGTGTGGAGTTTATAATTCATCTTGTTTAAACTTTAATTTTTACCGGGGTATCTCTGAAAAAATGTGCGATATGCTTATCAATGGGCTTTTTTCAAAATATAGTACATTATAAATATTGATGTATCGGTTATGAGAGCATGCCATTGTAACACCTTGGCCTCTCTGGTGTTACATTGGGATACCACATTCCACATGATACCCACAACTGAACCTTCACCACAGTCTCCAGCAAATGGAGAACATTTGACCATGGCAACAATCAGACTTGTAACGTTATGGAGAGTGCTAATAATCACTGGATCAGGATCTCAAATTCTCCATTGTGGTAAGATGATACAAATAACTCTTCTATTTCTTCCAAATGATAATCTAATCCAGGTGTCTAAAAAACATGCAGACCTTTTGTGGAGTGGCCCGCAGTTCACACGGAAACAATGTTTTATGACTTTGCTAAATAGTAGTGGCATTATTTTCTTGCCTATTGCAGTTGGGTTAGTGACAGGGATGGCACTGCTCTTAAGCGTTCTTTTGTTTGTGAGGCACCCAATGCTGTCACTATGAGTTTAAACGTCACTGTGAGACGAAAGCTCTATATTTTAGAATCGACGTCCAGATTTTCGTCATTTTGGTAATTTGTATCAGTATGTTTTTTGAAACCTGACATCAAATCCCCTTCATAAATAGATCATATATGGGTTATGCCAAAGGTATTCTTTCAAACGGCTAGGTTACATGACATTTTCTTCAAATTTTATCTGCCTGGCACCTTTTTCCACGCTACATCTGGCAACTGTGGCTAGCTGGGGTGAGTTTGAGTCTGCTGATCTAATCTGACAGAAGAAAGAGAGAAAAAAGAAATGCACTCATTGTTGGTGGCTGCACAAAGACGCACTTTCAGAAAATGAGACAGCGCCCTTCAATACATGTTGACCAGAATGCTGAAACAGTAGTCGTCCAAAGCATGCAGAGTGAAAATCAAGATCCAGTGCATCCAAAGGCCGCTTCTCAGTGCTGAACATTATGATGCTCATTTTTTAGTTCTGTCCTCTTTCTTTCTCTCTTTATTTTTTCTGTTAAGTACTTCACAGATAGGCCAGCTATCACTCGGAAGAGCGCATTTGTGTGCAAATATGTGGACATCTGTGTTGTCGCATTGCAATTTTTTCAAATTCTAGGGTTTTACAGCCCAAAAACCATAACTCGAGAGGCGTGTGAACTTGAGCCTGTCAGTACACATTCATAATAAAAAACAGCTAGAAAACAACAAGATACATACAAAACGGGACACAGCACTGCCTGTCTCTTTCTCAGTGCTCTGTCCTGTTTCTTCCGTCTCTTCCTTGTTCTTTTCGTGCTGTTTTTTACCATAACATGCTTGTGGCGGAAGCCATTGTGGCATGCTCCAGCTTAAGTTTGACTAGGTGATATTTTTCATAATGTACCAAATCTATGTACTCAAGCGTTCATGCATTTTGCCCCCATAAAAGTGTGCGTGCCGTGACCATGATTTGACCTTGCAACCTCGTGCTTAGAAAGTGCGACTGCATGATCATTACTAAGCTGCCGTAGTAGATTGCATCGAGATTGCATTGAGACAGATTCCAGCTACATATGAAGGTAGGGTTTCTTGCAGCGATCTGGCACACTTGTGCACCTGCCATGGTTTAGGAACAGCAGCAGTATAGTATTAACTGCTGACTTTCTACCGCCATTTGTGAAGCTTTTACCTTTTGCAAAAGTTGCTTCCAATAAATTTTGTCAAACTAAGCACTTAAATGTTAAAAATGCTTCGACTGAACAATGATCCTTCATGACATGTGCATTAAATTCGATAGAAGGCTTTGTCATTTCAACAATGTATGCACTCCCTTGCTTTCTTTCTTATTATACAGTTTAACCCCTTTATAAGAGACATGCACGGGGGAACATCTTGTCTTTTATATGAGGTGTCTTTTATGATCAGGGTACTACATTACACATGTTTTAATCAACAATTCTTTTTTTTTTATGCAGCACACTGGTGTTTCTTATACCCCAAGTGTCTCTTATAAAGAGGCTCAACTGTATTAATAGGGAGTTTCAGCTTGTATTTATGCTTCTTTACGTTAACGTGTTGCCGGATACCGGTTTGAGTTTACTGTCTTACCGGAACGCATATCTTTCAATGTTTTAGCTCCTCATACGTAAACATTTATGTATGTACATAAATGCGTATACCTTTATGTTTTCGCAAACCATAAATTGTGATGCTAACTACATGTAAACTGCATTTAACTTACATAGGATTGAATCACCATTGAGGTAAAATCACGAGACATTCTTTATCGTGTATAGTATCCTCGTATGGGCAAAATAGTGAAAAATGCAAGGTTACTGCAACGATGGTGTCGACATCTTGTAACACTTTGTGCAACCACAGTCATGAACACATTGGCTTACACGTTATGTTTTTGAAGTGAGAATGATTAAAAAGATAACTCATTTGTAATAACACCACTACATGGTTTTCGCACCAGACATATAATGCGCGGTGTTTCAGCCATAATTTGTGATTATCTGGTCCACTTTGGCCCCCCTAGATAGCATAACCCATCCAACTTGCCGGAGGATCGCACGTTCACGGCATCTATATCTTAAGCCATTCTAACTTTGGTAATCTGGCTGAAACAATGTAATCCCTATCACCGCTCGCACTTCAGCTTATTTCAACTCGACGGCTCGAGTCCCCACAGTGCGGATACCGCTAGTTCCAACGAACAAAGGTGAATTTGGGAGATAGGGCGGGAAACGTAAAGCCTATTTAGTGGAAAGCGTAAAGGTTTACATTCCAAAAAGACACACACATGCACAGATTCTATTCGTTATCCGGTAAGATGGTAACGTAAAGAAGTATTCGTACAAGCTAAAAGCCCCTAATAAATGAACTGGCCTGCCAAGCACTATGTATGTCCTCAGCATGTTTCACTGTAGCATACCACTGCTATTGCTATGCAACTACATTTTTTTTTTTTTCAATTCTCTTTTTCTTTTGTGATGGAGCTATAGCTGCTTAGCAGGCCAATGTGTTGTCACCCTGCATGTAACACACCACAAAAATGCAGACAAATTGCAGGAATGATAACCTCTCCACTTCTTTCTCAGGACCACTCAAATTTTCTGTCACATGCTAATACTGGGTATGATTGGTACACATACTGCTGGTTCAATGTGCTAACTGGTCAGATTGTTTCATGTGTGAAAACTAATAATTTGCCATCGACAAAAACTTCCATGGCATCGAAATTCAGCCTATCCGTTCCCCTGATGTCTTGATTTCTCTACACTTAAAGTGATCATGTGATAAATAGTAAGTATATAGCTAGACAACAAGCTCCTGATTTTTCGCATAGAAATATCCAGTGCCCTGCGAGGTGAAAACGAAGACATACCTAAATGCTGTACAGTGTGCAAGTTGTTTATTTTTAATCTGGATACCTTCACTGGGTCAGTCTATTTCTGAGGGTAGTGCGATGCAAGTAAGCGTTATAAGAATGAAACAATGCAGCTGCTAATTGTACAAATATTGATAAACCTGCTTATAACAAACCTTCATATAACGACGTTTTTTTTTTTTTCTATTCCCCGCCGTTACTCCATAGAAGCACATGTATTTGCTACCTCTATGTAACAAAGTGAGTGCAGAAGACATTCTTGACATAACGAAGTTTCGCCGCGGACAATCTCGGAAGTTTGACCCGGGTTTTGTCATTTCGGCACAAGCATCCATATTCTGCGGTTGTCCCATCGCCGACGAAGCGCCGGTGGCACGCCCGTGGCCTCGGCGAATCCCAGAGGAGAGAGAGAGCGCTCGTTATTGCGGGCGGGTGTGCGCAAGGCGGTCGGGTGGGCCTGCGGCCCACGACTCGGCGTTGCAGTCGTGGTGGTGATGGTAGTTAAAAGACGAATAAGGCGCCTCATTTCTGCAGCCCAGTAGGGAGCACGGCACACCGCCTATACACCTTTTCACAGGAAGGAAAAAAAAAAAAACGCCATGATGGGCCGTGCGCGGGAGTACAAAGGCTAAGGGCGCAGCGTTGTCAGTGCATTTTCGAGGGGACGCGCCAATTTGCACAGCCCAAGGAGGGCTATGGCGGCGCCCAGGGAGGCGTTTATAAAAAGATGAATTGCGGTCGTTCTTGCCACCAAGGGCGCATGAGCGGATGTGCCCTCCCCCTCCATCCAAACAAAAAAGAAAACTACTTTTGCGTTGGCAGTACCACGCTTTTAGATAGCATCACTTACGCGGAGTCGCGCTTTTCCTAATGTAGTTTTCCGCTGTGTTCGTGTCGTTTGCTCTTCGTGTTTGATGGCGTGTGTGCGTGCATGGTTTCACTACGTGCGCCCGAAGCCGTTTAACTTTGCTTTTGTTTTTTTAATGTGGACAACCGTGTCTTCACTACCGAGAGGATGTCAGATTATGCACTGATGGAAACACTCTGAGACCACGGTGATGACGACGAATCTTTGGAGCTCGACTCATCACGCGCGCTTCCGTCTTGCGCCGCGAGGTCGCAGGACCATAGCCTTCGTGATTAGCTCTGGCAACAACACGACGGCACATTGAATGCAACGCAATTAATTCGATAGCAACAATTTGAAATTTTAAACGAAGTAAGGCTGGCAGCCAACTCTTTTGGGTCCGATATCGTGGAACTCCTACAAGACGCTGGTGTAAGCAAATACGGCCACTCCACCCAGAAGGGATATTTTCGCACATTCTCTTCGCGTTTAAAGCGCACTGATGCTTGCCGAGATAGCACGCACGCCAGTGATCGAGACCGCACTCTTAAAATCAAAAGTTCACATAAGTAACCCCCCCCCCCCCCGTGTTTTTTTCATGCTCATTCAAAACGGGTGGTTTCCTTTATTCTGTTTGAGAGTTTGACGGCAGTTATATCACGCGGGGGTTGTTATCGTATGCGCCCTCGGGGCGATAAAGATGGGCCGGCTTACTTGATCTCGCAGCGCTCGTGTCGTAAAAGTTACGATGCGCGGGGGCATGTTATCAATTTGGACTAGTTCATTCATGGCGGCGATAGCAAGAACCTGCCAAAGGTGTCCAAATCATTGCTATCGATTAATAACGCAGTTTTTTTACCGCTCAATAAGTGTTTCGGGTTGGCTCTGCCTTCAGTTCTCCTTTGTTTCATTTGCGCGTTTTTTTTTTTTTTAAATCTCGTATCGAACTTGTATATAACGATTTTTTGGGGAATTTGTCAATTTCATTATATCGAGGTTTAACTGTACTCTCAAACCTCTATATAGCGAACCTGAATATAATGAAATATTGGTTTTAATGTAGCAAATAAAAAATGTTATTGCAATAGATATGGTGATAAAAATATGCCTTTATAATAGAATTTCAGATGTAAGGGACTTATTTTTGTGTAAGATGCAACTTTGTAATAAGGAGGTATGAGTGTACTGCATATCGGCAAGTGGTTCAATTTGTTTGTATGCAAAGAGGAGTCGCGGCATGACTGTGTGGGAGAACGATGTGTGTATTACACATTGGAGGAGCTGTTTGATACTCGAGGTGGGCGTGGATAATAATGTGTTTTAATGGTGCATTATGGTAGAGTTCCTGTTGTGAAGAAAGAATCACGAGGCTCCAAATTGTTTTATTTGGTAATACCAGAGTCCTTCAATACTTGAAGGACTCTGGTAATACATATATATATTCCGAAGAAGTGCAGTTCAATTTCAGATGAATTTCTTCATAGTAGAAAGCTTTAATGTCCAAAGCAGTTTGCATAAATCAGTCCACATGCGCCGTTTGTATTCTCTGTGACTGGGAGTACAAAGAAGCACAAGGGCATGCATACACGGACGGCTTGAGTCGTCGACACTAAAACTCTCTATTTACAAGACTGTAAAAACCAGGGCCCCAACCGATGTGGCATTTTAAATTTTGCCAACAAAAGGTTGGAGGTACTATATTATTTTTTTATTTAAATGGACCTGCAACAATTTTGACTACGGTCGAACCCTTTTATAAGATAGATAGGACACCACATAAGATAAATAGATAGGACACCAGTGTCCCGGGTTGATAGGAAAATACGGATTGCTAGAAAAATCGAGAGCTCTGCAATCACCAGCGATGCCAGCGTTTCCCATGAGTTGAGGAGGCAAAAGAGAGGTGAGAAGGAGAGTATGACATTGTCCATAGCTGCGTAGCCCTGAATTTGTGGTGTGAATGGTTTGATGACGCTCTAGCCTAAACGCTGACAAAATTTCAAAAAATCGTTCCAAGGTCCTTCAGGGTAATTCGTTTCACGGTAACTTCTAAATATTTATAAAATGTGCCATACTTTTTTTTTTTTCTAGAACGCAGTCGGTTGATTATTGGAAATATACTGGACATACTGCAAAATAAAACCCTCATTCACTTGCTCATCAGGGGTTTGCATAGGAGGACACCACAAAGGTCTTACAGTAGAATGATACTGTCAGTACCATTATGAAAACTTTATAGTAAACTGTGCACTTGTCTGGCACAGGTATTTTAACACTCCCCCCCCCCCCCCGAAGACCCCCTAATGTTGACAAAAAAATTACTGAGCTCAAAAAATGTGCAACACACAAGGAAGATACACAAGGGACACGGGCTACTTTCAAATGTTTATACAACGTCGTCATGAAATAAATACCGTTGGCACAGAACAGCACATAGCTGCAACAGTGTGACGATAGTTACAGTGCGAGAACAAAACGACGACACAGAGACAAGAAGGACACGAAGCACTCTGTGTCGTCGTTTTGTTCTCGCGCTATAACTATCGTCGTGCCATACCAACTAGCCCAAGCTGCCACACTTCTATGCAACAGTGTGGATGACAAGCAAGTTGGTGCTGCTTTGTGAACACATAAAGCAAAGGCTAGATGTAAAAGAATTGTGGCTTTTTTTAGGGCCTAGTTAGTCCATACTGGCACACCTGAAATGCTGCCCCACTCCCAACCCACAAGGAGGATCCGAACTACCCTCAAAGATTGATTCCTGGAGGCCAATCCATTCTCCTCCTCCCACATTTTCAGAAACGCTTCTCTGACCGGACGCGTATATTTCCAATGATTGTAGATTTGTTCACTACTGATGGGAAGTTGTCTTTTTGTCCACTTTAAATTCTTTACATACACGCTGGACTACATAGTTAACAACAACAAATTATATCTTCTAAACCTACTTTGGTTTCATTATGTTGTATTTGATAAAGAAATGATCCCTTGATTCGTTCTTCTTTTTGTTTACCAGGCATTCATCAAACCTTTCTTTTTTTGGAAAATTTAAAAAAGGAGTTTTATATTGCAATATATGTGTGTCACCGTCATACCGTCATTCTCTGGATCGAGTTGAAATACAATAAAAGTCTACAACTCTGTGGGTGTCACGATATATATATATATATATATATATATATATATATATATATATATATATATATATATATATATATATATATATATATATATAGTTATAAACTTCGAGAATAGTGCAGTATAGGAAACAAAACAATAAAATATTTATTTAATCCTAACAGTTTCGGCTGGTGGACCAGCCTTCTTCGGAGGATGTATATATATATATATATATATATATATATATATATATACCGGGTTAACTGGCAGAACATGGGAGAGGCCTTTGTCTTGCAGTGGACGTAGTCAGGCTGATGATGATGATGCTAAAGGAAGGGAAAAAGATTTTTTAAAAAGGATGTGCGCCGTCTTCGACGCGCGCTTCATGTATATATTCCAGGGACCACACTTTTAACTCACAGAAAATCTATGCCTTTCTCTATATGCGTCAACCAGGCCCGTATCCAGGGGGGTAGCCTGCCCCACACCCCCTCAAAATTCTAATGGTTGCGTGTATCTTAACGAAAATAATAACAAAAATGGGTGTTCTTCAAGGCCTTCAACAAGTCCCCCCTCCACCTCAACCCCCAGAAAAAAATTTCTGGCTGTGGACGAAGAAAGGGGGTGGGGGGGGGGGGTATATCCGCTCACCTTTGGAAACTCGCCTATGGGCCTGGCTTTTTCCGGCCTTCGTACGCGCCCAGAGCACCACACACCCTTGTGAATATCTGTACTCTAATTTAAGCCAATAAATAACGTGCTTATTTTAATCACTATGAATGCTTCGCCTCCCTGGAAAAACATTTTTTTCCCTCCACATGCGGTCACATCGAAATCGAAACCATTTGCTATACTATCATCATTTCCGACCGCCTTCAAATGGGCCAATCAAGCGCTTTTTGCAAGTAGCTGGCCTACGCAGCTGGTAGGTGTTCTGTGGCCTACGCGCCTACGCTTGTGATTTGTCCGAACGTGAAGCTGTTACTGCTGTAATTTGGTGTTTTTGCTAGGTATCGTCGTGACTCGTTGAAGCCGAGCTGTGCTATTTTATGACCTGCGAGTATGAACTGTGGGTGAGCGTTGCAAGACAGGTTGAACAATGAGTGGGATTCTTACAGACGAGCAGAAAAGGCTGATCGAAGAAAACCGACAGAAAGCTCTAGCTCGGCGAGCCGAACGGCAGAAAGCTGGGGCAGCGTGTGTCGTGCAAAATGAAACCTCACTTGGTCCACCGAAGTGCCCCTCACTAGCCGTGCAGAAAAGCGTAAAGAATGCGCCACTCTCTTGCAGTAACTCTGCAGGTTTGCCCGAAAAAACCGTTCCACGCCAATGGAGCCAGGGTGCGAAACCTGGTCAAGAAGTGCCGCAGAGGGTAAATGAAGTGACGTTCGCTGCACCATCGACAAAGCCAGTGTCTGGTTCGTGCGTCATGATATCCGATGATCGGTTTCTTGTGGAAGCGCCGTACCACCAACAAATGATTGAAATATTTCGCACCATGCCTTCACGAAAGTATGATGCGGAGAAGAAACGCTGGAGCTTTCATATTACTTGCCACAATAATTTAATGGAGAAACTTAAATGCCTCAGGCCTGCAGTATTGGTGGCCGAGATTCCTAGGCTTGTCTTGAGAGCATTTTCAGAAATTCCTGAGAATTACGAAGTCAGTCTGAACAGCCTCGACTGCAAGCTCGAACAGGCGCTTTTACCCTTTCAAAAAGACGGTGTCCGCTCGGCCGTGCTGCGCAAGGGCCGCATCTTGATTGCTGACGACATGGGTCTTGGCAAAACTATACAGGGCATTGCGATAGCTGCGTACTACCGAGAAGAATGGCCTGTGCTCGTCGTGACGCCATCCTCGGTGCGGTTTACTTGGAAGGAGGCCTTCTTGCGCTGGATGCCATCGCTGAACCAAGATCAAGTGACAGTGTTGGTAACTGGTAGTGACAGTGTTTCACCGTGCCATCAAGTGATAATTACCAGCTATGATCTTCTGACAAAGAAGACTGAAGACTTGTGTGGTAAGTTCAGTGTTGTCCTTCTGGATGAGAGCCACTTTATCAAGAACTCAAAGACTGCACGAACAAAAGCATGCCAGAAGGCTCTTTCCAAGGCTAAGAGAGTAGTTCTTCTCACAGGCACACCGGCATTGTCAAGGCCAATTGAACTGTATACACAGATATGTGCTGTGCAACCAACATGTTTTTTAAGCATGCATGAGTTTGGCATTCGATATTGTGATGGCAAGAAAAACCAGTGGGGCTGGGACTTCTCTGGCTCATCCAACATGCACGAGTTGCAGCTGTTACTTGAAAAAACTGTGATGATACGTAGACTTAAATCTGATGTACTGTCACAGTTGCCAGCCAAGCAAAGGCAGGTTGTGTTGCTCGACCCTTCACTTGTGAAGACTACTGATAAACTGCTGCAGTTTATGGCTCGTGAAATGCATAACACCCAACTCAAAGTCGGGGAGAAAAGGGGTGTCCTGCTGGCATATTTTCGTGAAACTGGCATCCATAAGGTCAAGGCTGTGTGCAAATACATTGAGGATTTGGTGGAAGGTGACCAAAAGTTCCTCTGCTTTGCACACCACCAGGTAGTCTTGGATAGCATTAGTGACCTGCTTAATAGGAAGAACTGCAGCTATATTCGCATTGATGGCAAGACATCATCCGAGTTGCGCAAGCAACATTGTGACAAGTTCCAGTACAACGACATGTGCAAAGTTGCACTTCTGAGTATCACAGCTGCAAATGCTGGCATAACACTGAGCTCCGCAAGCTTGGTTATCTTTGCAGAACTGTTTTGGAATCCAGGCATACTCACCCAGGCTGAGGACAGAGTGCATCGAATTGGACAGCAGAACTCTGTTGTTATTCAGTACCTTGTGGCAAAGGGCACAGCTGATGACTACATCTGGCCACTTGTGTGCAACAAGTTGGACACTTTGGGAAAAGCAGGACTGAGCAAGGATAGCTTTTATGATGTAGATTTAAAGATATCTGCAGACTCGAAGCAGCCAACCTTAGAAGACTTCTTCATTGAAGACGAGCAGTGGCCTGATTTGGCTGATGAAGATAGCAGCAGTGATTGTACTCAAGCAAAAAAAACTAAGCTTCAGTAGTGTGTCATTTTCTGTGCACATTAACAAATGGACTGGTATGTTTTGTAATATCTTATATTTTGGATTTTACAGTAGTACTGCAGTATTAAAACAAGTAAAATTAAGTGACAGATGTGGCGTGCGAAGTGCTGAATACACGCCAGTTACTTCACGGTTCAACTAGTTTTTGTGAAATCAAGGAGGAGAGAATCCTCACTTGATGGTTGCACAGCTTGTGAATCTCTTTGATATTTCAAGTTTGCATAGAACTAACAGTTGTGCACACAATACTGGGAAAATAAATGGACACAGATTTGTCTTTATTTTATTCCTGTACTTCACGTAAAGCTCTGACTAAGCACATTTTGTTAGAAAGGACACTGTTATAATACGCTAACTGGCCATGTTTCATCATTATGGCATAGTTATTGTGTTGTGTTTCTCAATGTTGAAGTCAGGCTAGTGACATACTATGGGCTTTGCGTCTGTGTAAGTCAAATCTGCTACCTTGTCTTTTTGCTGGTTTTACTAATTCAATGTGAAGACAGTTTTGTAGTCAAAGGCAGAGCCATGCGTGATAAAAATGACGTGCCATAACACTGCCATACACACCATATGTAGGAAGAGTGAAGAAGTTCCTGATATAACAAAATTCTATTCCCCGGCAAGTACCTACAGAGTTCAATTTCACAATCAATCTGAATTATCTAAATAAACTTGACTGCCAAACTCAACTTAGCTGAGTTTATTACCAAAGTAAATTAGGTTAACTGTGCTTTTTTTAGTTTTGACAAATACGGGTTGTTTTATCGAGCGTGCACTATAACACTCTCATATTCAAAAATCTGGGTGCTCTAGTCAAGGCACCATTTTTAATTTGACTAGGCTGCATGCTGTGCCCATGCATTGAACAATGTACTTTGCTGTCAGTAGTGCTTTTAGATACCATATGGCATTGGGGTGGTGGCACGGTGGTGGTTGCTCTCGTTATTTTATATTTTATGCATAACAAATGGCACTAATTGTCTCCTTGCAATCTTGATCAACCTGGTCTCTCAATTACTGCATTCATTTTTCATGTCTTTGTAGATCAGGAGCCTCTCGTAGCTTCACATAACTTTTTAAATGGCCTGCGTTGAGTGGACATGAAGCGTCCCATGTCCAGTAGACATGGGAGGCTCCATGTCCAGGATGCCTTAACATGGCTTGAGTTAGTGGCTAATACGACTTGAAAGCTTTTGGGTGTCACTATGCAACAATTACAGATCTCAACCAAAAAATCACTTTCGTGATTTTACAAACTTCCTGATTTATTGAAGCAATTCGAGCATGGCCATCATTTTGTTTAATTAAGGTTCAACTGTGTATACAAAAATAGATTATTAATTTCTAAATAAAATTGAGAGCACCTCTAGAGGATTAAATTTGGATAGTTAGGGAAATGAAGACCGATCAGAAACAGTAGGCGAATGGGCAAAGCGGACTACTCTTTCAGTAGAGCATGTGCCTTTGTAGGTTGACCTGTATCTTTGACACAGTAACGTAAAAACAGCTGTGGTATATTGATATAAACTACGAAGAAATAGTATGAAGCAAATTTCATCAAAATCAAGCCAGTAGTTTGCAAATTAGTTCTGCGGAAACTCGCAAGGTTTCCCGCAAGGTGGTGGGTTTCCGCAACTAAGGCAACTAAGAGGCTTTTCTTTCCGAGACATCCGTACAAATTTTTTTGTAGCTTTGTGCTACAAACGGGTGGTTTTTTTTCCTTTTTCATAAGCCAGTAGTTTATATTGAAAAAAAGTGGGAAAACACTGTCCAACTGCCTCATGAGAGCACCATGTGGCGATTGCTTCAATGGTTATTTGGAATGAAACGACCCAAGTAAGTGGCGCAGAGTATCACTTTTCAACTAGTGAAGAGGAAAGCTGTGTGGGCTTCATTTTGGCAGAACACCACCTGTAGTTGCACCTCTTATGAGCCTTCAAAGCGTTCTGTTCTGTCCTTGAAAAGCTTACTTCACTGCAAGCACCAACTTTTTTTTTCTTGCTTATTTGATTGTCTCTACTTTGCTGTCAAAACTGTCTAGGACAGCTGCTGTACCTGAATATGTGCCTACTTTTCAAAAAGTATGTGATATAAAGGAAAATATTTCCACGCAATAATATCTGCAATGGCACTGAGGAATGAGCGGGGCAATTCTACTGGGGATTGTTCAGATGCATTTATCGGTTCAAGTTACTATGCAAATTCATGAAAAAATGTCATGACTGGAAGCTAAAAAGACTTCTTGGAAAAACCAGAAGGAGAGGAAATCATGCGGCATTTTAATTGGTAGGTTCTATTTATCTGAAGAAGAGGAAAATTTAAAGGCTATCATAAAAATTTGATCGACCCTCAATGCCATTGTAACACTTCCACCCTTCAAAACCATGGTAAAAAAATTTTCTTGGGACTACAAAGACCTATATGGGTGACTTATCACTGTGCCAAGTGCGACAGGTGATTAAAAGAACATTTCTTCTTGAGATGGAAAAGTCAAATGGATGTGTCCCACAGTCGCAAAACGGTTAAAGCAGCTGCTGTTATAAAATTAAAGCACAAATTTACGGTAATATTCGCAATACCTGTTAATACAGTCAGAACCAGTGGGGAAGTATTTCTACAGCAGTGACAAAAGAAAAAAAATGCACATTTAATTAAAGGCTCGTTTTCTTTGTTAGACACAACAATAATGAGAACTACCAGATAACAATGCTAAGGAAACTAAGATATTATTAGGAGTAATTGTTATATAAATGTGAGAAAGCGAACGAAAAGATGACTTGCTGCTGGCAAGTCATCAAGCCTGTGACCTTCGAACAACGCGTCCGTTGGTAGAGCGTTGGGCACGTTTTCAAAGGTCACAGGCTTGGTCCCTGCTCGCGGCAAGTTATCTTTTCGTCCGCTTTTCTCTCTTCACATTTACATTACAATTACTTCTAATGGAATCCCCTATACCAGGGTGTCTACCAATTTCCTTTTTCAAAATTTCCTGACTTTTCCAGGTTTTCCACTATGATTTGAAGTAAATTTCATGACCGCTACATCTGCTTGGAAAACTCTGTGCACTGAAAACAGACCCCTGTGTGATGAAAAAAAAAAATCGGGCGCTCCTATAAAGAAAGTAAATAAATGCACCACAAGTGCTCAGAATGTTCTGAGCACGTGCAGTAAATATGAAAAAATAGGTGTACTTGGCCAAAATGAAACCTCCGAGTAAGAAAGTAAGCAAGTTGGCTGTTTAATGTTTGAAAGAACCAGAAAGCAAACACACAAGTTAAAATTAACTGCAGGTAAATCTTTAGAGGAGCCCACGGCAGTCCTAACAGGCAGCCAAAGCTGCCAGAAAACAAAAGTGGCACCATCTCGTGGCATCTGTTTGAAAGGAGGACGCCGGAGCCTGGTCAGTTCTGCCACTGCAATATATTGTAGTTCACTATAATGGTTATAGCCCAGGCTGCTTAGGATGTGCATTGGATTAGATTGACCTGTATTTACCGACTTAACTATTTAGGATGTGGATTGGATTGGATTTGATGCGACATGGACTGCTGTATTTACATCCCCACCTAAATTGCACACCTCTAGTACATACTTTTGAGAAAAAAAACACTACTACACTAGCACCACGTCCCTTTTGTCGAAGCTCCATGAGGCTCTGCGGAGCCCCGCTCTTAACGACCAAACCTGGGCGACCCAGCACGCCCATGAGGCGGCGTCGAGGCAAGCCCTTGACGTTCTTTCATGGGAGGCCTAAGCCCAGCCACCTAAACCTGCTGGTTTCTTAAAATAAAGTTTATTCCTCTTCCTCCTGCTGGCGTATTCTGTGCACCTAGCCTTACTGGATATTTTTCCGTCTTTCATTCTTTTCTTTTCCACGACAAGCACTTGCATGTTGATGTTTTATTTCTCTGGGTTCTGACGATTAGAGTTCGACAAAGTCCTCAGATGCCTGCAATGAAAGCTAGGGGTAGCATTTAAAGCGATAACATTTGAACATGTGCTGGCAAGAAGAAATCTGTCAGGGTGCAACAGCTTCCTCGATTCCATAGATTTATCACAGATGATGGCGGGTTACCTTCGTTTGTGCACTCTTTCACATATAAGGCTAAAAAAATAATCACAGATTTCATAATACCATCTCAAGAAACTAAAATGAGAAATTTAGATGTAGTTACCCAACACTACCCTTCCAACACGAGCTACTAGCAATGAGTGTGTAGCTGAGGACGTTTGCCGTTGCATTGCCAATAATAATGATGATAGTAACAATAAAATAATAATAATGAAATGCATGACATAGCTCAGCAAGCCTCTGGTAATGGCAGTCCTAGCCAAACCAGAAGGCCTTTAAGCTGAGCCATATCATGGTCAAGACAAACATGCGCAAACTTAACGACGTGAACTATGTTGTGGTTAGAAAGTCAGATATGCTGCATGATATGTAGAAGCAACAGACATCAACATAGTATGAATGAATATGAAAGCTAGGGAACGCTTTTGACAACTTGAAGGACATGTTGCCAAGCAAAAATTCTCACTGTCTTTTTTACTTTAGGCTGCCACAATTGTGACAATCAATACATCGGTGAGACCACCGATTTCAAGGAAGGAGTTAAACCCCCCCCCCCCCCCCCCTCTGGTTTGTGATCACCCAGAATCGACCATCTACGAAAAGTTTATGTTCCTCGCTAACACAACACGAAAATGACGTCGAGAAACTACGTGACCTCATATGCCCTGGCTAAACATGTGGATTCTACAGGCCACCAAACTGACTGGTCAAGTGTGCGTGTTCTGGCCAAAGGAAAGCTTGCACCCTACCTGCGCCTGAAATACCACCACATGCAGACGACTGTTAATATGCTGAACAGGAGTGGTGGAACGCTTTCAACAATGTACTTCCGGTGCTTACGTCACGTGCTTCGGCATACATTTAATTTTCTACTTTCAGTTTTTTTATAAGTTACAAGATCAATAAATATACAGGTGAGGGTCCCAAAGTAAAAAAAACTAGTGGGATGCTGTGCCTTTCTTATGGCTATTTTTGTGAACAAGGCTTCTGTAGTGAGAACCATAATGTCAGTAAACTATTATCTTTTGGTAGGTGCATCCTTTCGTGTCTTTACTAAGAAGCAACAGTTGCACACTGCTTTTTTTTTCACACAACTTTTAGCTATTCACTGTAGTTGCAGCCGAAGGAGTAGCTTTTAAAGCTTTGATCTAGGGTAATGCTTATTTTTGTGATGGTCGCACAGGCTACAGTCAGTTTCCATGATCAGGCCAGATTTTTCAGAAATTCCCTGACTTTTCCATGACTTTTCCAGGTTTTCCAGGTTGGTAGACTCCTTGTATACTACCCTTGGCATCATTTTCTGTCAGATCTCAGCAGTGAGAGTGCTACATGTGTCTATTCAGTATATGTAATATTGTCATGTGGTGCTCATGGGTGATGTTTATATTTTCATTATAACTCGCCCTCCTGAAGCACTTGAAGTAATCAAGCTTTGCCAATACGATTTCCCTACAAATTTGCATTCTTTTTTTTGTTTTTTGTTGTCGGCACACTTTTATTCAGTGAAAGACACCTGATCCCTGAGTGCTGTATCTGGAGTAGTCTTTTCAATGAGGGGTTCTTTTAATGATTACTAGAGAGGTTTACCAGACGGCACGCCCAGTATGCTCCTCCAAATGGGTATAATGAAAAGTCAAGTGGTAGACCAAGTTTGCAACAGATGCAGAGCATACATCAAACTCACTACAGCACGAAATTAACTAAAGCATTTCAATGAGGTCAGTGTTTTTAAGAGAAAGTTCAATGGTGCTTTCACAGCAGGTGATGCATTATTTTTGTCAGTCCATGGGCGGTAAACATCTCATAGCTCAGGAGACAACAGCCTAATGAGAATGTTCAGTTTTGACACAAAAGCCTCTCTTTCTTTCCTACAAGAGCTGACGAAGTGGAGTGTCTTTTCAACACAGCATACAGGTCACACTTGCGACTTTGTTCAATCTGGTGTAAGCATACCTGTTTGTCATTTGAGGCCACAAGGCATGCAAAATTCACGCGCTTATTGGTGCAGACCGTTGAACCATTGGTGTGTCTGACGAGGCAAAAGGTGGAGTGATTCAACGCTCCCTGCCATGTACACACCAGGCTACAACACCACACTCATATTGTCTTCGAGAGCACAATAGTTTATACATGGCCCCTGAGGTACCTTGGCCAATATGAAGTTATTGGAACACCTCTAGCACTTATCAGCAGCTATTTAAAACATAGAACACAGATAGTTCATGTGGGTAGTTCACAATCAATTGCTAAATTAGTTAATGATTGCATACTTGGACCACTACTTTTCCTCTTGTTTGTCAATGATTTATACTCACAGCTAGTCGATGTTACAGTGATACCTTATGCAGATGACACAAATCTACTAATATCAGACAGGAACAAAAGTTTGTTAATTAACTAAGTTGATTGGTGTGTGAGATTTAACGTCCACAAAACCACCATATGATTATGAGAGACGCCGTAGTGGAGGGCTTTCGACCACCTGGGGCTCTTTACTTGCACCCAAATCTGAGCACACGGGCCTACAAAAGTTTCGCCTCCATCGGAAATGCAGCCGCCGCAGCCGGTATTCGATCCCGCTTCCTGCAGGTCAGCAGCCGAGTACCTTAGCCACTAGACCACCGCAGCAGGGTTAAATTAACTAGGTTAATACTGTGCTTTACAGTCTTTGTCGCTGGTGCACCACTAATGCCATCACACTTAACCATACAGATTTTTTTTCCTTCCTCCAAAAGACGGAAAGTCTTAGCACATAATAGCATTATCTACAACAACTGCTTAGTAAAGCATGTCAATCACAAAATTCCAGGGAGTAGTCATAGGTTCTCACCTAAAACTTCATTTATATGCATGTAACATTGTTCTGAAAGCCTCATGCAGATCACACATTTTTTGTAAATGTCCGACACTTCTTTTCAATAGAAATACTAATTAAAATTATTATGCATTCATTCATATATAAGTGACTACATTGCTAAATGGTGTTACACATGCAAATCTCAGTCTAAATCCATACTAAATATCCAAAAAATAGCTCTTTATACAATAATAGCTAATCATGTGAATATTAGAGGTGACAATTTATTTCCAAATTTTAATATATCAAGTGCCCAAAATCTAGTTACAGTATTGATTCTAGAACATTAGAATATTTCACAGTAATCTCAACTTATTGGTGATGTCCACTTGTCTACCACCTCACGTTAGCATTTTTCATGCTACCGACTTTTACTACCTCAAATAAATGGCAACTACAAGTGTCAAACTTTGGAATTCAGAGTAACTACAATTTGGAATAGTCTTACTACCAATGTAAGGACAATCATGTCTCTTCACTTTTTCCTAGTACTACTAAAGCATTCACTCCATATCAATTCATGCTGCCATAGTAATTTGTAGTCATGTTGAATTTCGTTCAGATTTGCATGTACAAGTATTATATAATTGATTGATATGTGGGGTTTAACGTGCCAAAACCACCATATGATTATGAGAGACGCCGAGTGGAGGACTCCGGAAATTTTGACCACCTTGGGTTCCTTAACGTGCACCCAAATCTGAGCACATGGGCCCACAGTAAATATTATATAATGAATGTATTTAGTTTTAATTACTATAAATTATGTCATTTATACTTTTATTATTCAGTAACAGTGATCATTCTGTGTTAATATTTGTTTTCTGTATTTTATAAAATCTGAATTGTCTCGCTGTGCTATTGTCATTTAGTGTTCTTGATGTTGTAATGCTGTTGGGAACCTTTCAACAGTTTTGTTAGTTCCCTAAATGTGCGAATACATGTACTATAAAAAAGACAGAAATAAACTTCAGAGAGAGAGATGTAACGCAGAAAGGCAGGGATTTTAACAGGAAAACAAGTATCTGGTTGGATACCCTGCCCTGGGGAAAGGGAGACAGAAAATTAAGGAGGGAGATAAGTAGAAAAACACACACAAAATTAACGCACGAGTGTTTGACTTCAAAGCAATATGTATAGGGGCAGCTATTTAGAATTTTGCGCTAGACCAGTGAACAGTTGGCTTCTTTTGAAGTGTTTATACTGCTGAAGTAAATCCCTTAATCAAAAGTTCTACTAGAAGAGACATATTTAGGACTGAGTTATATGCAACAAGGGTATGCATTTTGTACAGATGCACAACTATGAGGCTAGAATCTGGACAAAAATTATGTGCTTCAGACTGCTTGTAGCCTGCTCCCAGTGGATCTCTCTCTAGGGCCATGTAACAATCAGAAAAACAAGTTTGCAGTCAAATATTGCAGAGCTAAGCTTTTTCTCGGGTAGACTTCATTCAGAATCAAACCTTGTAAAACACTTCTAAATTGTACAAGCCCGAACTCCCGAAGGTGTATTCTTCTACATATTTTTTTTTTCAGACACACTGCACGTGCCCAAGCGAAGTTTGTTGTGGTCTATATTTCTTCAGTTACCTTACGCATGTGCATTGCATGGTGTCAGTGCTTTGGTAAGCAACGCGGTTAGCATCATTTAAAAAAGCTAGGGGCATACTGTGTTTACAATGACAAGTACTGATTGCGAGACATGTATTCAAGACACTAGTTTGTGTAACATTTGTTCGTACTGCTTCACGGTGCTCTGGTTTACGAATAACAGCCGTCCGCTCGGCATGTACAGCTCCACAATGCCGCGTAACAGTCCAATTTTGGCATTTAGTTCCGCTGGCGTCAAAAAAATGATGTGCGCCGACACGCTTTGAATAATCAACTTAAGCCCGTAAGCCGCAAGACCGACGTTTTCGCTTTCGTCACATATGGCCACAAAACAGCAGTCGCCAAACGAATGCCACACCACAATGCTGTCGCCCCCGTCGACGTCGCTGAAGAAAAACTGTCCTTTGCGTTCTGTCAAGTGCATCGTGACATCGCTGGACGAGCTGGAAACCTCGGGCGGCGTGTTTTTCATGTCTTCTACCGCGCTCTGATAAACACGTTTCAGCAGATCAGATCTGGTCTTTTGCTCCTCATTCATTTCGCTGGGCCCTCGAGCCGAATTTAAGTCGTCGGTGTCGCCACTGGCAGTGACACACTGGACCTCGCTGAACGGTGGCCTCTCGCTCCAACCGTAGAATGCCGAGTAAATAATCCCCGACGTTTTTTCAGACACCGATGCAATGAAAAACGCCAGAACCATCTTCGGAGTGGAACGATTGTGCATACACGATACGATCAAGGGGGGGGCGTTTCTCGTCGTGAACTATCGCTGTGCTTACAAGCAGGATAATTTCCACTTAGGCGGAAGCTGCTTGTCCAAAGTATCCAAAATTACAGTGTACTAGAATTGCTGCATCCGAAGCGAAGTCACAGAACACCTACAACAGTCAGCTTCATCGATTTACCAAGTCCCGGATCGCGGACGGCCCGCGGACACAGAACACCTACTCCTCGGCCCACAGGTGCTTACGTCACATGCACGTGATCTAAAAGTCCCGAGCGGCCTCGGGCCATCTGCGCGCTTGGTGCTGACTGCATCCGCTGTGGCGTCTGCTATGCCGTCTGCTCCCTCCATAGCTGAAACACAGGTCAGAACGCTGACTCATTTGCAACCTAAACAGCAGTTAGGTAGTGAATTATACCTATTTCTGTTGTGATGCAACTTGCTGTAAGTGAACTACTCGAGCGCGTGTGCATCGTAGACCGGCGCGGTCGTTCCACTGCTGTTTCTCCTAGCGAGTATAACGCGTGTTTGCCCGACCTTCGGGAATACGCACATGCTCGACGTGGCTCAGGACACTGATGACAAGAACTGGGTGCGCAAACAATGTGAAATACAGAAACATGCGAGAAGCGGACAGAAAAGCAAAGAGAGAGTAGCGCATAAAAATTTCCCGTGTCTAACTTAAGATGGCCGCACGTACCGCGCTGTCGTCTGCTCAAAAGAAATTGTTCGGGCGGTCCCGGGCCAGCCGCAGGCCACCAGGCTTGCGAAAAACGAACATGCATTCAAGCAATCCCGGACCAGTGGGCGTAGCTTCCAGTTGGTCCCCGAGAAAAACGAATGCGGCGCCGTCCGGGGCCATCCGGGACGTGTAAGTCGATGAAGCTGAGTGGCGAAGCCGCCATTAGTACCGCCATGCAAACGCGTACCACTACAGAACACCTACCGGCAATACCATGATCGGCACCAGAGAACAATCGTTACCTCAAAACCTATAAACTATGTCTATTTTCTTTCTCGCTTTCTTTTTTTTTTATGGTTCACGATTTTTGCGATCACTTGCACTGCCGACTCGAAGCAGACGTATTTCGTTTCGAAAACTGTCGCCTTATGCATTGATGCTACAGTGAACTTTTGGTTTTGCCAGCGCGCGAGAGACGGTTCGGCCGCGTCTCACGAATGCGTCTGCGGCGTCTTATTTGAAAATTGAGGTTGGAGCATCAATTGCTGGTGAAATGGTTCGCGAAAGTGTCGTTGTTTGGTAGGTAATCGTTGTTTTGTCGTCTTTGGCTCGTATTCTTTCTTGTGACGTGAGAATCATCTGGTTTCTGGTGATAAAGAAAAACGTGCCGAACCAGCACGCTAATTTAGCGCGTCTCAAACCCATATTTCGTGCCGTAATAATAAGCCCTATTTCCTTGTAGTGCAAGTGCATGTAATAGACTTTCTTGGTAAACTTTACAGCGTTGACACGAGCGAATATGCGAGGAACGGCGACTTTGCCCCGTCGCGTATCGAAGCGCAGGCAGAAGCAGTAGAAGTCGTCTGTAACTCGACGACTGAAAACCCAGGCAGTGAAGTGGCCCTTATGACTATGGTGGGGTATGTGACATCCTCATCGGATCAGGTTGTGTTCATGGCGCGTCGTTTTGCTGTCCTTGATCAAATCGTTGTTTTTTTTTTTTGTCTGCACAGCCCTGAAGTCCAGGTGACGCTCACCAATGACGTCGAACGACTTCAGCGCAGACTCGCACAGCTCCAACCCAAAGGCTACATTAATTTTGTGGCAGCTGTCCATCTTGCCCGTGTATGTAATTTTCTTCGCCTTTTGCAAAAGGCAATATCGGGATAATCAGCCCAAAGAAACTTTTAACTATCGATGCATTACTCGTACTACACGTAGAGAAAAAAAAAGAAAGGCTACACCTTAAGAAGAAAGCGAATGAGAAGAACTAAGCGCAGTAATTTGGGCGAATTTGTACTGATTCATAATGTATATTGCCTTGTATCTTGGGTGTTAATTATTCTGGACACTGTCAAATTTTCGCTATGTTGTTACATTCCGCCATTGAGCGATGCTGGTTAACCCAGTGAACTGCTATGACCTCTACGATTGGGCCAAAAGTCCGCAATTACGAAATTAGACAGTATGGTAGAATTAGACAATGTCCAACTTGTCTGCTCACACGCTCCTAATAACATCATGAATGAGATTGAAAAATATTGCTTGAGCTCGATCGGCAGCACGAAAAAATAGAATATATATATATAATCAATCGGAATTGATATTTGGAAGGTGATAGGCACGTTCGACGATCATAACATTTAAATATATTAAGTAGAAATTAAGATTATATTGATTTCAATCAAATGTCGTCTGCTTTTAGAGGCAAGGACCGCCATGATGATACCGTCCGACCAGTTTGCAGAGGGGCAGAGTCATATCATGGAAAAAGCTCGTAAATTATAGAACATTAAAGGGACCAAACACGAAAAAGCCAGAACGCTTGAAATTCTGTAATTGAACTTGCCTGGTCACTCGCGTCAGAACCAGTCCGCAGCGAGGAAAGCGTCCCACTTCGCAGATGGGAATATTCTTCCAGCGGGAAGGGAAATTGACCCCGGTAAGATTTTTACACGAAAATGATAGCTCACGATTAAGTAGTTATCTGATGCTAGTTTTTTTTTTTTTTTTTGGGGGGGGGGGGGGGGGGAAGGGATGTTGTCAAAAAATTCTCGGGCCATGCTATCTGATCCGAAACCAAAAGTGCAGTCGGCATGGCCAGCGTCAGAGCTAGCGCCGTTGCCATCAGTAGAGGTAATGGCGGCCTAAACGAAAATGTTGACGGAAACCGCCGTGACGACACTTACTTTCAGACTGATCGAAAAAAAAAAAAAACTACACTGATTAAATTTCATACAGGAAGCACGGCAAGCGGCAACAATTTTCGTGCCGTGTTCCTGGCGTTCCACCAGAACGGGTTAGCGAAGTGGTCAGTCTGGCTTAAGCCACGGTCCGTGTTCGATTGCCGAGAGGACGTTCAATTAACGCGGAATGTCAAACGCGCATGTTTTGTTCTTCGTGGTTATAAAGTACTGCCTGACTATAATGACAAACGATGTCAAGTGAACAGTTTAATTTCTTAAAGCTAAAGCTCGCTGGTATAAGGGTTTTCTTTTTTTTTTTTTTTGTCGTCGTCGTATTGTCTTGATAAGTCAGATGCCCGTTCAAATTATGCTTAGTTTAGGTGATCCAATGTCATTTTGAAGTGAATTTTCTACATTGGACCTTTAGATGCGGGTGCGTCTATGGTTCCTATTTTTGCTGCAATCCGGTCAATTACATAGCTGCCAAATAAGTCAACCATGTATTTTTCCCCTGCCTCTTGCTTAATTGGGCCAATTTAGTCGGTGATTATAGGGTCTAAATGATGATGGTCGGCTGTACATCCTCAAAATCTCTAAAAGGGCAGTTGAACACTCCAAACCTACCCCCCCCCCCCCCCTTCCTGCAATATAAATGACTGTATCTAACCACACGAATAGCCCTCCTCAATACCACCATCATCGTTGATTCCTGAAAGGCTCCTGTTTAAGTATTACATAAGAGGAGAGCACATATGGAAGAAGGAATGTTGAAGCAGTCATGAATTATGTATAAACAATAACATTTAGAAGGACACAGAAGGTGGAATGCCATAATGTTCACACACACATGAGGGGCAGTCATTATCAATGCACTTGCTGTAAGGTACAAAACAGCAAACGTGGGTCAAAGTACATTAGGCATTGATAATCATGAAGTTATTTAGTGTAGTCCAAAATTTGTTGGGTTTGATTACTGTGTCGACAGATAAACTACTCCATTCTGCAATAGCTAGTGATGAGAAAGGGTTACCAAAGAATTTAATTGAGCATTGAAGACCTTGAAGACTGAGGCTGTCTCAGTAACATTGTCTAGGGAATGGAGTAAGGAAGTAAAATAATAGAAGGGAAAGTGGAGAGCCAAATGCAGAACCAGAGTTTGGTAGTCAGAAAGAAGACCAGCTCCACCGAGCAAAGCCGTGTTCTGTGGTTAAACAGCAAGTGGGACGAGAAACGGTGCGGGCAGCAGAAAGAGGAGAAGCAAGGGCCAGGCAAAGGGCACTCATGAATCTTCGCAGTGGCTGCGTGGAAGAGAGTCTCTCTCAGCTCTCCTGTTATTCCTTTTGCTCACTTATTCCTCTAATTTCTTACCTTACACTGATGTTTAAATATCCTTCTAACTGCAAAAAGTGCTATAGTGAATACAAGGAGAGAGAGAAAGCGACAAGCCAGTGCAGCCACAACCAACCTCTCACACTGCTTGTGGTCAGAGAATAAAAAGGATGCCTGAAATTACAGATTCATATGAGAACATGGATACTTCCGTGATTGCCTAAAATACTGTGTTAATAAATGGCAGCTGCTAATAGGTTTCACATTTTATGAAAAAAAAATTCACATCATAAAAATTATATCTCCTGTGAAATGTTAAACTTTGCTAGCAACGTGCTCTACAAAGTTCAAAAGAAAAAAAAGGTAGTGCATAACATTGAAACCCAACTGTTCAGTGTGTGAACACTAGAAGCCATTATATGCATAAAAAATACCATTATATACGAAAAGAGACTGGGTAGAACATAGACTACCAGCTGCTTATCATACGAAACACAGAAAGCTATTCATACAAGCCATACAGTGTTCTTTTGTATGGCTCCCAGCCATATACAAAAACTCTGAGGCAGCCTACCTATTGTGCCACATGAAATCACCAAAAAAACTCTGCATTCATATTGCCACCATTAGTAAAAAGTGTGCCGACTATCTTTTCCTGGTAAATATTCTTTTTTATCTTTTTTATATTACAAGGGAAAACTCATAATGACAACACTACAAAAACAATATAACCGAAATTTAAATAAAACTATGTCAGTGTTACAAATAAGTTCTGAGGGAACCCGCAAGGTGGCAGAAGGGTTAAGAAAAGTGAAATAATAAAATCACTTGTTAGTAGGGTGGCTAGAATTGGGAGGTGTGAAAACCAGCGGCTCCAAGCTGGCCCCGATTCTAGATACTGCAGCGATGGTGCTGTAGTCTGAAGCGCTGCCAGCCTGCTCGGTGCGCCGCTCATGCATCGGCATCATCCGGATTCTTTTTTTGGGGGGAGGGGGGTAAAGTCATGCTGCATCACAGCGGGGGGGGGGGGATGAGGCCTGGTAGAGTTGGGGGGGGGGGGGGGAGTGCTTGTTATATACCACCCCTTTCCGTCTACCTAAGCCCGTGCACTCGCGTCGGTCGTTGCTAGATTCTCAGCCATGAAAGAGTTTTATCAGTGACATAAACAGCTTTATGAATTTGCAAACCATTTATGCCACACTGAAGAATAATTAATAAAAGTACTGCAAACCTTTCACCAGTGAGATAGCCAGACATAAATAGAGCGTCAATTAATGCGGGCTCGCTGGTGTGTACTGTATTGTCGGAAACACAGCGCTGGTCTTGTCGCTTCTGTGTGTCCCAGGCTAGCGTTATTTTCCCAAAAAATCAAACATAGATCAACCATTCATAATGCCACCATGTTTTTATCAAATGTTATTTTAAATGAACTACCGTTTACATGTTTTGTGAAGGCCAAATTTATCTTCATCTTCTTGATATTTATCTACACAATTACAGAGCAAAAAAAGAAAGCTTCTCCATGCAGGACACTATATGATTTTGAAAGTTTTCTAGCATTCTAACATTAACACGCAATAACCTTTGATAAATTGCATTCTCTTATACTATTAATTTTAGCTCAACAGTGCTAGTAGCTCTGTCCATTTGTTTGTTGCCCTTTATAGAATTCTGAACTTGAATTACGTTTGAGGTTGAGCCATCACAGAGCCAGCATGTTTTTAAATTTGTATAGGAAGAAATATGGTGACTAGTTTTATGGCTTTAACCAAATTTAATTAGCACCATATTATGATGATGTATACTGTGGATGTTTTTTTGCTATTGCCTGGGTTGAATTCCCATCAAAGGAAAATAATCGCTCGATCCTGATGTAAACGAATGTGACCACAAATTTTTCAAACTGCTTACATGTTCAAATATAGCCAATATCTGTAATACGCTGCTTACAATGCTACAACAAGCTGCCTACTATCTTTGAATGCAGGTGAAATGTGCAGAAAACATGCGTCAGCCTGCTTTAAAATAGTTGCTTAAAGCTGTATAGTCATGGTGGGTTTAATAGCCCTTAAATATCCACTTTTCTAGTTATCTAACTTTTCAGCTGTTTTTCAATGCTTTATATGGACACGATGTGTGAATTTTTCTTATTTGGGCCTACAATACACAAGGTGAGCCTCGCTGCATTGCTCTAAATACTTGATGAAAATATAATGTTCTAAAATCTAAAAAGAAAACACAACGTTCAAATGAATACACCTACCAAGCAATCGTTCGAACTTTAAGAGTTCTACAGTTAAAACATTTAGTAATTTAGTGACTGGTGTTTGTCATACATGCACGTAAAAACTTTTGCAGCACTTGTTCAGGTTCTCTACACTTAACTTGAGCCAAACATTTTTTTTTCTTAGACGGCTGAATTTTCCTGTATAGCTCTATCCCCATTATACTTGTGGTACGAGCCGGGGTACTTCTATATACTTTTTATCTTTTTGGTCCCACAATAAAAAAATATTTGTAGCTCTACCTCACTGGGAAATGGCGAGCTTCTAAACTGCAAATCTGTCAACATGCCGGCGCACGGATAAGCGACACCTTTTTCGTGCATGCTTCGTGCACCCCGAAACGCGGCGCCATACATGAAGCACGGTCCCCGAGTTTTCTCAGTTTCATAGACGGCATTCCTCTTAATGCACACTAACACAAAGTACTCGAAAAACCACATCGAATGCCGAAGTAGCTGGCAAGCTCCCATCGCAGTGGCCAACTTTACCCTCTCCCCCATGTTAGCTGGCAGCGCCTCCAACTAGAACTCCATGTTTTGGCCTAACGGAGATATCGCGCAAGGCGGCGCCTCTAGGCAAGGGAAACATGGCTCGCTTTTCACACCTCCTCATTCTAACCACCTTACTGTTAGTAGAATGAAGCCACAAGGAAATCCGCACGGGTTTTCTTGTGACTTCCTGCTACTAACAGGTGGTTGTCTTCTTTCCCTTTCTTAACTTTTCTGCCACCTTGCGAGTTTCCGCAGAACTCATTTGAAATTCTTGTACCCATGTGCTTTGAGTTGTCGATGAATCGTGCTGTCAATAGCTAGCTTTTTGGTTGGCTCAATCGGTGCAGCGACCGCCCCAAAAGGCTGTCGGTTCTGGGTTCGTACCCCAGACCAGGACAAATTTTTCGGCAACAAAGAAGCTTTTCTTTTTGAGAAATTCGTATGGATTTCCTTGTGGCTTCGTGCTACAAACTGGTGGTCGTCTTCTTTCTCTTTCTTATGTCAATGTTAGTGGAAACTCAGGCCAATCAAAGCATTAAACGGCCCATAGGCAAAAACTTGGGTCCGGAGTTGCAATTATGTATGAGTCTTCAAAAAACGTGCAGCTATGCAAATTTTTTTTTTTGTAACAGTGGAATTATACGCTAATGGTGGTCTAAAAATAGCCCCCCTCACTTGATTCGCTCTTTCCTTTGCTATGCATCATTCATCGGCTAATCTCTCCTTGCATCCAAAAGTGGCGAGCACGCCTACCTACAAGCAGGTTATTTTTGTGGATAATATAACTAGGTGCAAATGGTGATGTCACATCCACTTCTGGAAATACCGCAAGGCCTGGAGAGGACAAGGAATTATTTCTTTGAACTTGAGGTGCACTTGTAGATCATAGGTCTGCTGCATTTGGTATAGATGATCATGACGACATTGTCTTAATGAGCGTTTTTACTTGAAATATTGTTACAACGTTTTTGGAGATGGTTTAGGGGCCCTTCAAAGCAAATGATAGAAACATGACTGAGAGTATGCCAAAATACTTGAAACCTAATACGTGGCTATTTTGACTCCTTGCTTCATTTGGGATTCCTTTGTGATAACCATGCACACTTTGCATTCCAGAAGGCTTCGTTTTTTTTTAATTTTCTGGCACAACTGTCAAGGTTTTTGTAAAGTGCTATAAACAGTTGTGAAAACGAATATCACTGCTGTGTTCTTCAAGCTGTGGGATACTTAAACAGCTTATTCTGTTGTATATTTGTTCAGTTTCATTGCCAGGTGTACCTCTGATGGTGATGTGTTTAAGTGTGTTTTGTTTTCTAACAAGCCATTTGGAAGTTTGCGCTTGAGATGTCTCCTTCTAAGGCTTGTATTTTGTTGCGCATCCAGTATACATTGAACGAGATGTACAGTTTTCCACTGATAAGGGTGTGTGTGAAGAGAAAATAATTAAGTACTGTGCACAGAACATGCCACTTTTTATGTACAGCTTTTATTTGCAGCTCATTTTATACCTTTTATTTGCAGGTGATTCTCAGGAATCAAAGAGAGAAAAACCGCAAGAAGAGGATTGTTATTTTTGTTGGAAGTCCAGTCTGCACCACTCCTGAAGAGGTGTGGACACATAAAAGCTGCCTCAGAACAAAGACTGTAATGAATGTAACATTTTCTTACTCTTTTTTTTTTTTCAGCTCACAGTACTTGCTACACTATTGAAGACAGAGAAAGTGCATGTGGATATTGTGAACTTTGGGGAATATGTGAGTTACACACTTTACATTTCTGTTATATAAAGTTGATTACGCTTGCAGTAACATTCTCTTTGATGCTATCCAGGTGGAAAACTATGGGCAGCTGACAATTTTCACCAGCATTCTTAATGGAGATGGTACCAGCAGGTATGGCTCTTGCTATGAAAATTCAGAATTCGTCCAGTCTGGTTTTGAGCTCTGCTTGTACTAAAACATTGAGGAAACTACGTTACCTTGTGTACTTAAGGTGGTCATCTCTCTCAGCAACTCTAGTAACAACCTTGATTACTGTGAGTATGCAACGAGCTCTGCTTTATAGGCGGAGTTAAAAAGTGGCAGCAAAAGTACTGTGTTATGATGTTGTTGCGCCTGTGCGATTACAGGTTACTTATTTATTTGAGCAATACTGGTGATCTCATGGGAGACCGTATCAGGAAAGGCATACATATAGACAGAAAAGAAGCACCATCGAATCATTTATACAATGAAAAATCATAAGTAACCGACACATGATCAGTAGTAGCAATATGTATGGTATGAGTACAAATCGTGGCAAAACCACAAATTACAGAATCTACAGTGACATGGTGCACAATGATCTCATGAAGTTGTTGAAACATGTAATCCGAATACACGTTCTAGAAAAAAAAAAAAAAACAGTGAATGTTACAGAAAGTGCTCACTGTGCACAAACAAAAGAACTAAGTTGGTTCCATACTCGTACGGTTTTAAGGAAATACGAATGTAATGGCATAGTAGAACTCTATTTAACGTTCCAGTGCAGTTATTAGCCTGGGCTATAGAGTTTCTTATAAACACACTAGAGGGAACTCTGGCGCTAGTGTCTATGGGAGCTGCAACGCACGGTGCTTCAGCGAGCATGGAAATGATGGTTAGTGCACAGATTTGTCTAATTTTTGCGACGCTGCATTTCTACTGCACGCAGATGACACTAGTCTTTTTGTTTCCGGAAAAAATTCATCTGAAATTATTGGCAGGACCCAAAGCGTACTTTCAGATGTGCTGTGGTGGTCTACTGCTAATGGCCTGTGAGTAAATGCGAGAAAAACAAAAGCTGTCGCTTTCAGATCTAGAAGTATGAAAATTAATCTCCACCAATCATAAATGCTTGATAAAATACCTGCGTAAATCGTGGAGAAACATAAACTTGTCGGCATTTTTTGGCTCATATGGTCAGGTCATGTCGAATCGTTGACCAAATCGTTATCCCGTGCTGCTGGTGCTCTGTCACAATGTCAAAATTTTCTTCTGAAAAAAAAAAAAAAAGCTAAGATGCAGATCCACCAAGCTCTGTTTTCCTTGCATATATATTACTGCCTACTTGCCTGGGCCACCACAACCTTGGGCAACATAAAAACAATTCACTCATTGCAACAAAGAGCACGGCGCTACATTGCGAATTTCCCACGCAGTATGTCTGTTGGTTCTTTGTTCGATCGCTATAAAATAATCAGTCTGAAACATATGTGCAACTTTCAACTAATTTAGGACTACTTCTTTGCAAGAAAACAATTTCAAACATTTATTAAAGATTTATTAAACATAAGTGTACAACACACGGATTCATGGGCCAGAAGCATGGACAGATGGCTTGTTCCGAGCTCTCACACAAACTGTTTCCTACACTTCCTTGGATACACCTTACTCTCCGTACTTAATAAATATGTAAGTACTTTTTTGTGTTTACAAAAAGAGAAATGCATGAATTTTTTGTCACCCTTGCATCGTGTTCTTTATAGTGTTTTTTATTATGTATAATACGTCACCAGAATGAAATCATTACGCTTTGTATAACATTCTTTCTCTTTCTCGTGGCTATTGCTCATGAATGCAGATACTGTTATTTAGTTTGCTCATTGTCTGTTTGTTCTACTGTTATATTTATTTGTATAATAGTCTTCCAACTTTTTAGTTCATTTCTCCTGTTTTAAATGTACTATATACATTAAAATATTGAATTTTGAAATCGCTGCTGTGTACATGGGTCCTCAGGCATTCTCAAATAGTTTTTAGAACCTCTTTTCACTTGAGGGACCCCCAACTTGTTGGTAAAAAAAAGCTTGTTGGAATCAAAAATTGATTTGATTTTTTATTTTCCTACTTTCAACTCTGGTTGCCTTCGTGTCGCTTGAAGTTGCTTTGTGATGAAATGACAATCAGCAAATATTCAGCAGTTGCACTTCACTGCTTTCAGGCTCACCATTTAAAACCCGAGCACGGAGTTTATAACCGTTCATTCTTCCATTCGAAACAAAATCAAAACACAACAATAAACGAAGACAGAAGCGTGTTCGAGGCCTGCAAGCACAAATCCGTGTACTACCCATCACTCCCTGATTGCTGAAGGATCGCAGCACCAGAGTACCCGTTAGTTAATTCTAGAAATCTCTATTGCCTGAACTAAAAAAACCAGGTGGTTGACAGCTAAGGGGGGTAATCTCTTGGCATTAGTCCTGGCTTGCTGGACAGCCCAGAGTGGGTCTGCATGTTCTCAGTTAGTCAAGACAGTGCGCCAGCATTATTCAAGGAGAACCAGTTTAATGCCGTGCTCTTTGTATAACTGCAAATTCATGGCGATTCGTGTCGTGGCATAATGTATAGAAGGCCTACCAACTTGGTTGACAGGCATTCAAAGCCTGCACCTTTCAAGTATTGTCAAATTACTCCATAAGGACGACCTCAAGTTTCTGCAAGCCGATAAAGACAGTGGCTTTGTCATCTTGTTTACCCAAGAGTATTGAACTAACGCTGACACAGCCCTACAACACAATTTCAGAGAGGCCAAGGGCTACCACCCAGCCAAAGCAAAAAACCTAGCCATACAAAAATGTGAAAAAGCTGCCTGCTGAAGCTTTCAGTTGCAATGAAAGGCTCCAAAGAAATGTGCCTTTCAGTGTTTTTCTCTGAAAAAAAGCATAAAGAAGAGTCCCCCTTCCAAGTGATTGTGTCTGAAGTTGGCAGCGGTGCATGGTCAATTACTTGCAAAAAGGCCTGGCACTACGCAAAGTTGATGACCTGTTCCTCATCTGCAAGATGTGTGAAGTATTGAGGTACCCAAAAGTGTCTTGTCCTAAAGGTGTGCAAGCTTTCTCAATCGATATAAAGCACCTCTATTACTCTCTGCTCCAAGCCGCCTTTGCAGTTTGTGTGGGAGACGGAATCGAAAGATTCAACCACTTCCGAAATTCCTTCGACACGGACATTTCGAGGTTCCTGGTCTTAGTTTCTCTGTACCTCAGCTCGACCGTCATAAAACAAAATTAGCACTTGTATGTGCAAAAAGATGGCATCTGCATCAGTTGATGCATTGCTCCAATTCTGAGCGACTTGCTTCTGGCCCATTATAACAGGCAACTGCAAAATTTGATCGAAGCATCTGGTAGGGTGAAAGTCTTGCTGTACATCAACGACTTTTTGATTTTTTATCATGAGATCATGGCAGAGGGCAGCAAGGTCAACGAGGTTTTCGAGTCCTTTAATTTAAACTATCCAGGACTTTCGCTTACAAGGAAGCTTCTTGGGACCTCAGGATGAAGTTTGGTACAGAGCACATTTGTTGGGGGCACTTACCTCATTCTATGAAAGACTTGCTTCCATTGCCACCTCATCATTCTAAGCTTGTCAAATGGGCTAACACACTCTCCATTATGAAGAATGCTCTTCATAGATTGGCATAACTAGAAATCGCTTCTAGCTATGCCAATCAAGTTTGCCAATTAAAGAAGGCAGGCTTTTCTGACCTGTTCCTGTCCGGGTCGGCCCAAGTAATTTTGAATGAGCACCACAAGATGAAAAAAACCTCATGCTGCAGATGTCAGGGAAAGAGTGGCAGTCATACCCTATCTGCATCGTATTTCACAAAAACCAAGAAAGCGGCAGCAGATTCTAGATTAAGGGTGGTGTTCTCGGTGCCAGTCAAACTGGGATCACTGAGCAGAAAAGTGAACTCCCCTCACCCAAACGCTTCCACTTGCAAGCAACATGCTACGAGATTTGTTTCATGCAAGATCGAAGCCGTCTACGAAATACAGACGTCTTGTGGTAGATGCTACGTTGGTCAAATGGGTCGCTCCATGAACGACTGGCTCTAAGGGCACAAGAACAATCTCTAGGATAAAACTGGAAGCATTCTGGCTATTCACTGTGCCCTAGTGTGGATGCACTCCAAGTTTTAAACAGACGCGCATCTTACGTAGTTATCACGATTTCCGCACCAGGGAGGTCTATGAAATGTTTAAGATTCATTCCATTGGGCCATCATGTGTAAGCGCTTCGTACATATCACTAACCAACAAGGAGGTTAATAGTTTCGCAATTGCACTTTGCAGTTTGATCTAGTAGCCAGAGACGCATGTGCAGTGCCTCCCTTTCCTTCATTTGCTTTCTTATTTTCTCCCTCTTGCCAAGGTGTATATACTTGTTCACATGAAATAAATGCTCATAAAGCGATAGGGTTAACTTTAAAAGACCCCTAAAAGACCCGGCCCTGAAAGCGAAAGTTTTGTTTGTGAGTTTTTTACAGTAAATTGTAGCTATCTGGTAATGCCGAAACTATATTGTAAATGCTCTAACGCATCATATAATTAATGTTAGCAGCGTTGATTCAGAACTGTCTTGCATCGGTTCGAAACGCACACCTAAATATCGTAAGAAACTAGCGCCCCACAGCAGAGCAGTGCCTGAGACTGTTTTCAAATAGGGAGACCCGCGTGTGGTGAAGAATGAAACGATGTAGGTGTTTTGAGCGTGTCCCCCTCAGAAAAAAGAAAGCAGTCCTGGCAAAAGCAGCCAAACCTTCCTTGAGGACAGCCCAACAACAGAGCGAGATAGTGACGGACAATAGTCCTCGCAGGGTGCCAGTTGAGGTATTGTGCGCTCCCCACAAATATTGACCCTGCAAAGTCACTAGGGGAGTCCCAGTCTACATCAAACCAAAAAAAATGTTGATTGCACCTGAATACTCCAAAGAGCATGCACACTTACTTTAAAACCAAATTAAAATATCTTCTAGGCTACGCTCGCCACTAATAGTCGGTCAGAAGTGTCCCTCATGCTGGACTATCAAACACAAACATCTTGAGTTTACAAGTTTGGTCTCAGGGGTCCTTTAAAAAACAAGAAAAGGACAAAATGAATCCAAAAACCACAGATGTAGCAAACAATAGAGTTGACAAGAAAGAGATACTGAAAGTGGTTAACACAATCTTGCTTTGAGGGAGAAACTAGACGGAACTGATCAAATTTGTTTTTCACAAACTGCCAGGTATAGGAGCCCCACTGTTAACTAGACAAAGTGATGCTTCTCTGATCTGCTGCCGATGCTTATGCTTATATTTTGAAAATATCATTGGAAAGCATGATTTGAATCAATACATGTGAGTATTTTCACAAGTCTGTAACTAATCAAGAAAAATTTCAGCAGCATGAAAAAAGCTAATAGACAGAAGGGGCCGACACGTAGTAGTGCTGGTTATATGAATTATTGGTCTGTGTTGCCTCCTTTTTTGCCTGTGTATTTTCCGCACTGTTAATATTTTTCATTACGACACATTTTTCATATAAATAAAATAAAACATATGTGCAAAACAAAATGGCCACCATTACAAGATAACTATCGCCACTAAGTGTTTTTTGGATTTACACCAAGCGCTACTACAGTACCTAAAGACAACAGGCCTGAGTGACCACTTGTAGACTGCATGTGCTCCCCTGAGTGTGCTCGTGATTGTGTGCAACTTTTTTTCCTTCCTCCTATCTCTTTTTCCCCTTCATCCCTTCCCCCAGTGCAGGGTAGCAAATCAGATGTGTATCTGGTTAACTTCCCTGCCTTTCCTTGCATCTTTATCTCTCTTTCTTTACACCACTGCAACTGGTGGATTCAGGCCCCACTGTTCAAAATTCTTTTTTATCCACCCACATTCATGTCAATGTATGTTATACGAAGTTTGTGGCTTCTAGCCCCATCAATGAAAAGGGTGTTTTACTGTTGACTTTATATTAATTTCAATTGAGATCATAATTACTATACTGTACAGTTAAAAGCAATAGATAATGTCCCTTGTGCTTTCCCTACCGTAATTGTTTGTTGGATATATTTTCTTGTGTTTAACAACGCAACAACAAAAAATGCCTTTTGCATCTCCTTTATACACTTTGATACATTACATGCTGAAAATACCTTACTGTAATCTTATTTACAGTATTTTCAGAATCACATAAGGATTATGTTGGTTAACATTAAAAACAAACTCATGCAGTTATTTAATTATCAGTTCTGGCCAGCCATATTTAGAAATTAATAAAAAGTTGGCCCTCATTGTTTGAAAAATGGAGTTTAAGAACCTCAAATTCAACAGCTCTAATATTATTCATTCTTTAATTACTGAAAAATTTTGCAAATTAGTTTATAAAAATAACTGCTGAGCCAATAGCTATAGCTATTGGCTCAGCAGTTATTTGAGGAGAGATTTATGAAAATATTGAATTTTGTGTTTGAGCATAACAGGCCACTTCAATGTATATGAATTCAAAGAAGCCTTCTCCTAGTGTCAATAATGTGTATGTGTGTGTGTGTGCGCGTGCATGCATGCGTGTGTGTGTGTGCATGCATGTGTGTGTGCATGCATGTGTGTGTGTGTGTGTGCAACATTAATTTATATTTAGCTCATAGACATGTGGACATAGCACAGTTGAACTTCATGTACCATGATGAATCTTACACAGTTACAGCATTTGAGTTCTTGTGATATGAGCCACCTAATTGATCTTACCAAAGCATCTCTTCAATTTGAATGATGTAATATATTTGGCAGGAAAAGTGCATGGTATATTACACAAAGCCACAGTGAATAGTGGATTCCTGTGATCACTCATGTTTTCCTATCTGAAATGCAAATCTTGTCGAATGCTAGTGGATAGCCATCCGCCACCCAGTCTTACCTGAAACACCCTGTGGTGATTCGATTTTCTTTTTGAGACAGCTGCTTTTGGGTCAAATCACACCTCAAAGTAAAGCAATGAGGCTCTGCTAGGCGAGTAAATTTATTCACTTGGCACAACAAAAAAAAAAAAAGAAAATAAAGCAAGCATTAAAAGTACATGCCTGACGAGGACTGTTATTGCAGATATGAAAAGTGGTGACACAAATAAATGGCCTTGGTGCATTCCAAAATCTAGGGGTCAATTCACTGCTGTCCAAACAACTATGCAGCTGACATTTCTATTGAATTATTTTTTGTAAAAGAAAGCACCTTAAATTATGTTGGCTTGTATGAGGCCATTCTAGGCCTCTCATTTATACGTAGATTAATGTGCCAAAACAAAGAAATATGAACACAGTTTCTGCGACTCAATCCCCTGTACACATTGCAGCACAAATGGTCATAGGGCTGAACCATCTTAGTTGTTCAATTTTATGTGCCTGTGCCAGACCAGGGCAGTGGTAAAATCGGTTCCCTTACATACTGTAGGTGCGTATAAACATTCCTCTTGACTAAACTTTGAAAGCCACTTTATTTTGCGCTGTTGTTAGATTTCAGTGAACAGTATTGTGCAAGTATTTTCAGGCTTATGATTGCCATAGTGACGATTGCATATAATCAAGGAATATTCTGGTTTTGTGAACCCTGGTAATGTATGGTATCAGTTAGTATGTAACCAGCCCCTTTTCTTCGAACATTGTTTGTTGTCTAATATGTGGCATTTAGCACACCTGCATAATTAGTGGCACACTGAATGCAAGACTGCAATAACACTGTTCATCACCAAATTGCTTCTACGCACTGTCATGTCCGACAATAATTGAGATCTTTGCCTGCTAGTGCCCAAATTTGTGCCTTACTCAGCTGACCATACATGCCTTCCCTGCAGCTCATGCCTGGTGACAGTGCCAGCAGGCAATATCCTCAGCAAAGTGGTCGCTGGCAGTGCAATAGTCCAAGGTGAAAAAAGCCGAAGAGACCCCAACTTTTATCTTGATTTTGAAGATGATGATCCAGCTTGGCTTCTGGTAGGTGGAACTTCTTTAAAATTGTCTGCATTTGTGTCACACACATGATGACATTTTTCATAAATCAAGAAGCAGCTCGGTATTGACTTAGTCGGCAGTATTTCAATAGCCTTATGTCACTTGCTTCGTACATCTTAAAGAGCTAGTAGACAGGCTCCGACGTTTTTTTACAGCCCCTAAAAAAGCTCAAGTAGACCATGGCGATCACATTTTCTGAATATTACAGCGCTGCGCAGACCCTCCATTTCAAGAAACAGTTCTCACGCCTCTTTTCTTTGCCTGACCGATCCCCCTTGTATCAGCAGCAATGCAAACTTGGCCATTGGCAACTTAACTTACCTCTGTCAATTGGTCTTTTGCCTTATGAAACAATGCCTTGGCCCTGCGGTGATGCAGTTTCGGCCGCGCAGTTCGCATTTTCATTTTTCCGTCCTGCCCTCTGCCATTTTGTGGAGCCCGAGACTATCAGAAGAAGCGGTATTGCCAGAACGAAAGCCTCCAAAATAAAGACGCGTCTCGCTGCTTTGTCGCTAGGGAAAAGGTTCACCTCGCACTGTGCTTCCTCCCCATGCTGCTATGACACGTGCTAACGAATGCTTTACGCCAACAGATAATAATGTGAAAAGCAATGACAGTTTGATGTGCTCTACATATATGCAAGGCATCACGAAAAAAAAAAGACCATCATGTGAAGGTTTTTATTGCAGGTCTTGTAGTTAGATGGCAACCTGCTGACTTGTCATTATGCAGAGCACTGACTTTCATCAATTACAAAAATGACAAGCAATAACTGCTGTCAGCGAAGTGTACAGATATGTCTTATTTTAAGCAGCTAAATAAAACCATAATAAGTACTTAAAAAAAGAAAGACAAAGCTTTTTGATTCTGGCAGACATTTTATTAAACGTAAGTGAAATTGGTCGCACATTTAAAAAGCAATTTAAAAGCAGACCTTTTCATGCATGGGCATTCTCTAATTATTTTATGCAGGTCTATAACAAGTTGATGAATGTATTGAAGTATCTCAAGATACAATTGGCATGTACCGTATAGGATACAGTTGTTGCAGTAATATCTTGTATCATATCGCAGCACAATTTCAAAGGATCTTTGCTTAGCCCTGGTAATCGGCAAGTGCATGCTATGCGAGTTTGATTTACACTCCCTACTTTTCAGGCATTGCGCGTGTCTCAGGCCGAGCAAATATATCAAGAATACAAGGATTACGAGTATTACGAGGATTACGAGGCCTGCCGAGAAAGGGCTGGTTCAGCAGGCACTGATCCAGAAGCTTCTGACTTTGCGAGTGCATGTACGTGCTTTTAAGTTATCAACTTGTCACATGATGTTCGACTGAATGTGTGATGCCGTGAGATTTGTTTTGGCACTGCTGGTATTGCTGATGGCTCTCTAGTTTTCTTTAAGTACCATTTTTTTTGCAAAACCTCATTCTTATTTTATGACTTAGTGGAATGAACTGAATGCCACCAAAAGTGGTTATACATGTGCTATTTAAACTGATCAAAACATTGAAATTCTACTCAGAAGATACAACTGTCCTGATAAACAGACTTTATTTGACAAGTTTATGACTAGTTGGTTGTACGTTTAGAAGACTGTCAGCATGCAGCAGGGCAGCGATGTCACATTTCACCAAGGCACATGCTGGGGTCACAGGTTCCTGTCCTCTTCCCTTTCTCCATCTCTCTTTTACAGTTAATGCTGAAATTTTACAGCTAATGTTGGTTTTGACTTGAATACATAAAATAACAATAAAAAAAAACAAGTACAGAGAACAAAGCACACAAAACAATCGCTACACTTCAACTGAACATTTTACTCTGAAAACATGACTTATAGAGAGAAAACAACAAATAATCTAAACTGATAGCAACGTCACCAATCCACATTGCAAGTTACACCTGCCAAATGATGCATTGTGCATATGTGCCCTTCCAAAAAGCCAATTTCTTTTTCTTTTGTTTTGTTCAATTGAAAGCACACTTACAAACCTACCTGCCTCTCCCTGTTTATATACATGGCTTCACGGATCTCACGTCAGACTTTCTTTACATCACTCTCTCCCCCTTCCACAAAAGTACTGAGGCATGCCCCACCATTTAGGGGCTTTAACCCAGCTGGGAGCACTATTTACTGCCGGTGCTGTTTGCAGTGGTTCTGTGAACTGTAGTGGGAGCCGAGTGGATTGAGAGATGGGGGTAACGGCGGTCGGTGTTATTATGCCCATGCTCGATGCATGAAACGTACGATATGTTACCTCCTCTAGTTCACAGTGAGGCAGCTGGATGGGACAGCTTGTGAAAAATGCATTAGCTTCAATAAAGAAAAAATTGAAGAAAAGTTACTACTGGAAGATGGCAAGAAAAGAAATGTTCAAGACTTGATGTTTTGTGTCGCCTACCAGCCCACGCCATGGCACAGAGCGACACAAGAAGAATAACATTATTAGGAGTAGCTCTATCAACAATATCACCAAAAAGATGTTGCATTTAACTCTATCATCGGTGTATCTAAACACAGCATTAATAAAAGTATGGAGTTAGGCATGTTGGTAATTCATAACTGGTCACATAACAGAAAAACTTGAAAGAGGATGAGAGAAGGGACGAGGACAAGCTCTTCTCTTGCCCTGTGGCAAATTTTTATGCTACATAAACAGTACAGCATTAAAGAACAGCTAGCATGTACGTTCTTCATAGAGTGGGTATAAAATGGAGGCATTCATACCGTTTGGATTTTTAGAAAAGTGCAACATGTGTGCCGTATGCTGTAATTCGTGTGTTGTGCCTGTCCACAGAAAGTAAGATAGTGTACATAAAAAAAAAGTGTGGAGGAAATAGATGACAATTGCTTAAACAACTTTTTACATTTTTTTTTAAATTAATGTCTAGTTCCATAACAGTATAGCTTTTTAACAAAGACAAGTTTCATAGATGCATATGTCCCTCCCAGGGGTGTAGCCAGAAACTGTATGGTTTCAACAACACTTTATGTATGTTCATGTGTGCATTTATATGCGTGCATGTACATATGCGCTAGCTGAATTGAAAAAATGGAGCGGTTTGATGCTCGCAACCCTCCTCTTGGCTACACCCCTGATCCCTTATCAACCTTTCTTAGATGGTTTACATAATTGAAATTGTCCTACATGCCTGTTCTGAGGTTCTGAGTCGGAACGTAATACCTAAAGAGCCAGTGAACAACGCCGAGGTCCAAAATATGTTATGAAGAAAAATATACACACTTTTGCTATGTCAACATGCTGCCACAAAAATTTTGCAAATGCATGCTATAGTAAGGAAGTTAGAGGGATTATAACATCTGTTTCAGAGGGTTTAAAATTTTCACATGGCCTCGCCTCCATTCCCTGCCATAGGAAGAAAAAAGGTGTAGCCTGTCCTCGTGACTTCGCACACTTTGGCAATGTGACACGACGTCAGCAATACATCAGTGGTGCGTGGCCAATGATCGAGCAGGACATCCCCGACATGAGCACTTGGGGGAAAAAAATTCAGTTCGAGTAGCACCTCTACCCTGGCAGTAAACTAGCTAGACGCTCCTCTGTAATGGAGGCTTTCGGTCTGACAATGCCGTTTCTCCTGGTAGTTGTGAGCCCTACAAAATGGTAGAGGGCAGCACGGGAAAATGGAAATGCGGACTGCACGACTGAAACTGCATCGCCGCAGGGCCAAGGCACCGTTTCGTAGGGCAAAGAGCCAATCGACGAGCTCAGTGGGGTGTAATGTTGCCCATGGACAAGCTTTTGTCAGACTGGATGTACTAAAGGATTGGTAAGGCGAGGGAAACAGGCGCAGGATTATTTTTCGAAATGGAGGGTCTGGAAATAGAGAAAATGTGTTTGCCGCAGTCTACTGTGCGAGTTGAAGAGCTTGTTTGCGGGATGTAAAAAAAAACAGAGCCTGTTTACTGGTCTCTTAAGTGCAGTTTAAGTATTTTTCTTTGGAGGCAAAAGTGAGCCCATTGACGGTTTGCATGAGCATAAAAAAACTGCACAGGCATAACTGAAAAGCATGAGCATAACCGAAACCGGGGTTCTGCTGTTATGGAGCAATTCACAATTATTTTTTATCAATGACTACAATTACATAAAATAAAGTGCCTAGACAACACTCATAATTTATAGACACTCATGCTTGTGAATGATATCTCCTGGTATCCTCTAACGTCCTTCCGCAAGCAGTGAAACGTGCCGAGACCCGATCACATATTATGCAAGTTTACGCTTATTAGAGCAGTGTTTTATTTTGTGAAACAGAGAACTGTGATACTACAGCCCTGCATATTGTTTTTTAAATGCAAACATTGCTGAGATGGAGTTGTGGAGTATTGTTACACAGGGTGTGTAACAAGCACACCATTTCTATTGTACAACTGAAAATATCTCCTCCCAAAGAAATATCTCAACAAGCAAGTTAATAGCCCAGTACTATAGTTTGTTATTTGTGAGTAACTCGTAGTCTATAATTAAAAGAACTAGTGTATCGAACCTGTGTCTGCATGAACCTTTGTACTTTTACAGTTATTACAATTTGGCAGGAATCACATTTAGGAAAAGCCTTGCCGCGGTGGTCTAGTGGCTAAGGTACTCGGCTGCTGACTCGCAGATCGCGGGATCGAATCCCGGCTGCGGCGACTGCATTTCCGATGGAGGCAGAAATGTTGTAGGCCCGTGTGCTCAGATTTGGGTGCACGTTAAAAAACCCCATATGGTCAAAATTTTCGGAGCCCTCCACTACGGCGTCTCTCATAATCATATGGTGGTTTTGGGACGTTAAACTCCACATATCAATCAATCAACATTGTGGGAAATGCTGCTCTACAGGAACACCATTATTTTCGGAAGTCTGATTTATTCAAGGGTCTGAAAAAAGTAAACAAAAGAATTGATGAGCCAAGTGCTTTGGGAATGTGTTTTTGGATACAAACTAGCAGAAATGTAATCTTGAACTGCTTGATTATAGAGGTACTTTAATGTTCACTGATGCAAAAACCTTCGAACTCTGGTGTCTTGTCCTCTGTAAGGCAGTGTGAAAGTACAGTCGAACACGATTTGAAGGTTATCATGCAAGCGTCAACCGGCCTAGCATCTAAGGGCCTAGTTGGCACATTTGGTAACAGTGAAAAATCAAGATTACACAATCTCTTTTCCTTCGTTGGCTACATTATACAGAAACAATCTCCCCTGCGACAAAATCTTCACCAGGGCTGCGCAGATACCAAGAAAAGTGTTCTAGAATACAAATATTTAATTACATATACAGACACTAAGACACATCTGTCTTTGGCGTAGCAGGATATTTTGTACATACATCTGCCAAAAGCCGAAAAAAGTATCCAGAAAAACAGTTACACAAATAGAAGTATTGAAATAATTTTTTGTTTAAGGATTCTAATAATTTTATGATATACATTTATGAAAGTCCAGTGTAATATTGTAAGCAATGTTGCAACACACTAAAACTTGCAAGTGATGCTTATCGCCCGGTTCACTAATGAACACGAGTGACTATAGAGGAAGCGTATTATTATTTTACATAAAAATCTGCTTTGCTGTGAAGGTTGTGCCGTTAACAGCATATGTGTGACAGCAACTTGTCAGTCTGCTTGACAGCGGCAGTGCAGCTCTAACACAAGACCTGCCAACTTGTCTTCAAAAGAATTAGGGCTGCTGCACCAGCCTTAAAAAATAATGACATTGTTGTCAAGACAAACAATACTGCCTCTGTGGATCTGCCATTAGCAATGCAGGTGATTTACTACGTGGGCCATTTTTTGCGGGTGGCGAACCCTTTGCCGTCCTCCTTGTGTTGCTGACTGATGGTGCACCCGAAGTCTTCCTTTCCCCTTTGCAAACTCGTCAGATCATTTTGGTAAAAAAAAAAAGTAACAAGAGACCCGTGTCCTGCACAGTATCATGATACGATCGAAACATTGTGATAGTACTTCACTATTGAGATGCAAACACATTTTTCTTATGTATCTCTAAACAGAAGCACAGATACTCAAAAGTA